GGTCACTGTCCAGAGCCTCAAATGTGTGCACTTCTCCTGTTAAGGAAAGAAAGACATAACAAATTGCAGCTGTTGAACACATTATACACAGCATGGCAGGAGGCTCAGTATTTATTTCTAATAGAAATTCCTCTTTTAATATCCATTCTGTTCTGCTGCTAGGACATCTTCACACAAACCTTGTCACATCTAACAACAGAGGGCTCACTATCGCCTCTCTTCCCAACAGAATTTGCAGAGCATGAAAAGGCACAGGAATCAAAGGCCAGCAGTAAATAAGAACTGAGCAGCCAGCATTTTGAGCATATGACTAGTTTCATTTGCTGACAACATCAGATCACTAAAGGAAGTATCCAGAAAATATTGCCAGAAAGGGAGGCAAAAATTGAGAAAGCCCTTAATAAGATGCTATAGAAAGAAAAAGCAGAGGTGTGGAGGCAATAAATGACCAACCCTGTTTCATAGCAATCAATGAGCTTGCTGTCTATTACACACCAAGTGACACTGAATATTTAACCAAAAAACTGAATTTTTTCCCCAGGTAGCCGAACTCCAACACACACAGCTTTGACTGGTGCTGCTGTGCATGACAGAACACTAGTTCTTCCTGACACCACAGTATCCCCACTGCATCCACTCAGAGCTCAGCCCCAGAGCCAGCAGTTTCCTCCAGGGAGTTCACCTGATAGCTGTTGCAAGCGTCTCTCATTAGTTATTTCGACATCATCTTTATGGGTGCAGAGCCGTGTAGCCAGGATCCCATCACGCTCAGACCTGTTAGTAGCTGTCTGCATCAGCTGCCTGGTAACCTCCTCTGTGCACCTAGTAACCAGGAAAAGGGAGTTATTCTTTAAAGTGATCAGGAACAGGTCTTGAGCAGCAGTAACCTTCACACAGCTGGATCTGTCTGTGCAAGCTGCAGGCCTCCAGAGAGGAGGACAGAGAAAGATATATAAAAGTTGGAGAACAGTGCCAGTGTGTGGGCCCTGGCCACTGCCAGCTCAGGATCCATTGAATTAACTCACAGAAATCAAGGAGGAACCCTAGAAAGTGTCCTTCCTTACCAGAGCAGGATATATGAAATCTGCCTACATTAACTAAAGCTTTTATAGCTTTTGCCCCCAGCTACATATTCCTGATAGAGCTCAGAAAAGCGACAAACTGCTCTTTCTTCTGCTCCGTAGGTGGGGAGCAGAGATTACAAAGAGATGAGCTTCTCCTCACCTGCCTAAACGTATTGCACTCAGGAGTGAGACAAAGGTCCTGTCAGTCTGTCGCCGCACTTCAGTCAGCTCCATGTTTATGTGGATACATTTCCTCCAGCTTTTTGCCTGCAAAAGTCATTCTCTGGTTAAGAAAGAGACAGACTTGAAGTATAAGAACCAGTTAAGGGGCAGTTTTGTACCTGGAAGCAGAACTTGGTTTCTTCATTAGCCTTGCAAACTGGAGGTAGCTGCAAGAAGTCCCCACAGATGATTAGCTGAATTCCCCCAAAAGGCTCATCCCGTTTTCTGACTGCCCTGAAAGAGATGGAAGAGAGAAGTTTTGAATGTCCTCCAGAACCTGGACATACTCAGATCTCAGAAGTTACTTGTTAATCTGTCAGGATATTCAAATATACACCACCTGCATTTAAAAGGTGTTTATCCTCAGCTGAATCAGAAGAGCTCAAACAATTAAGCAATGGTAAGACATTAAATTTGCTTTGCTTACCCACCCCAGATGCCATTACCAGTCTTTCTTTGGTGGCTATTATGCTACAGCTGCTTCTCTCTGCAAGAGAGAACTTCTAGGAACAGCTGTATTCTGGACTCAGCTCTATAGACAACACTTAGCTCAGGAGATGGAAAGAGCAACTAGAACAGCCACAGCTGTGAGTGAAGAGGGGACACAATCAAAACCTATCTCGTGATAAAGATCTGCCCAGATGCTATGATTCCATGCTTCCTTGCAGTCCTATGCCAGCAGCTGCCTTGTATCAATTCACAAAACCCGAGGAAGGAAGTAGCCTGGAAATTTAGGAAGATTCATTTCAGTTAGTTGTTTGACCTGACGTTTGCTTACCTTGCCACTGCCTCCAGCCTGTCAAAGAACTTTCCATCTACCATTGAGATCTCATCGATGATCAGGTGCTGGCAGGCCAGCCAGTGCTGGCGCACCCCCGGCCTCTCCGCCAGCTGAATGCACTGTTCCAGCGGTGCCTTCCCAGAGCCGATCCCTGGCAGGGGAGAAGAAAGCAAAGCTTTGGGAAGCTCCTGATTCATTGGGAAGGGAGTGAAAGCTCCCAGGCCCTCGCTGTCGGGCAGGCATTACCTGCAAAGGCATGGAGAGTGGTGCCACCGATGTGGCAAGCGGCCACTCCCGTGCTGGCTGTGGCATAGGTGACGTTCGGAGGGAGGGAGCCCACGATCCTCTTCAGCAGGAAGGACTTTCCAGTCCCTTCGAGGAGAGAGAAGCAACAGGTCAACAGCGAGGCCCGAGGGTTTTCCCCAGCGAGAGCCGCCGGGCGCCCTCACCTGCGCAGCCGGTGAAGAAGATGCTCTTCCCGCTCCGCACGGCTCCCAGCACCGCCTCCTGCTCCGCCGAGAGCCGCGCCGGGGGCCGCCTCTCGGCGCGGGGCACCTGCGGGACAGACAGACAGCGGTGCGCTGTGAGGGCAGCGCCCGAACCTGGGCCCGGTACCGCCCCTCGCCCCGGGACTCACCTCGGCGGGGCACTCCCCCCGCCCCTCCCCGCAGCCGCGGCGGGGGCCGGGGTTGCGCAGCAGGTCCCGCTCCTGTACCGGGCTGATCACGGCGAAGGACGCCGGCGGCCGCTCCAGCAGGCGCGGGGGGCGCGCCGGGCCCCGCGACCCGGCGGCCACCTTGAGCCGCAGGAGGCGGAGGAAGCGGCGCAGCGCGTCCGGGGGGCAGTCGGAGAGCAGGACCTGCGCGCCGCCCGGCCCCACTCGCACCGCCGCCCGCCCCTCGCCCGCGAACCGCGTGAAGAGCCGCACGGCGTCCCCGCTCAGCGCGAAGCTCAGCACCGCGGCCGCCGCGCCACTGCCGCCCACCACCCGCAGCACGGGTTGGCGCAGCTCGTTGCGGCCCAGCAGCACGGTGGCGTCCCGCAGGACACGGCGGCGCGGGCCGCAGCCCCCCGGCAGCGGCTCCTCCACGGCCGCCGTGCAGCGCAACTGCGCCGCCTCCATCGCCCCGCCGGCCGTTTGAACGCGCCGCGTGCGCCGCCGCCAATCGGCGCCCGGGGGATTTAACCCGGCGGCCAATGGGAGGCGGGAAGGCGAGCGGGCCAATGGGCGGCCCCGAGGGCCCCACGTGAGGCGTTGCCAGGCAGCGGGACGCGGGGCCGGCGCGGCCATGGCCGCCCGCGGCGGGCAGCGGGAGCGGCCGGACGCGGTGCAGCTGGACCGGCTCCTGAGCGAGCGGGTGCACAAGGAGATGCGGCACCAGAAGCTGTACACGCAGTACACCGTGAACCCGCTCCAACCCGGTAAGGCGGGGGCGGGCCCGCAGCGCTCAGCTGCGCGGCGGGGATAGGCAGCTGCAGCCAGGAATGGCAGCAGTGGTTAGGGACAGGGGTAGAGCTGGAAGGAGAACCGGTGGGCCTTTCTTTCGCCCGAGGAGCCGGTCTGCACACTCAGAGGCAGCAAGGAGACATGCCCCGGATAGCCTTTAGTAACCCTGGAGAAGTGAGGCAACTATTTAGGATGCGGAATCTACAAATCCTGAGCAAATACAGAGCTAGGATGGGGTAGAGAGCCCAATCACTACACCATGTTCCTTCAGCCCTTGGACCTTCTATCTGTCAATTCAGAGTCACAGAATATCACAGTCTGTGCTGGCACAGACAGGTGATGGGAATAGATTCCTTCAGGTCTAGCTTTTGTAGTAAAACAAAAACCAAAGGAAAATAATTTCCTGAGACTTGGCACTCGCAGGCCACCACCTGGGTTGGGTGGGACTTTGGTGTGGTGAACACGAGCAGCATTCAGTAGAAGGGCCTTTGGCATGCTTAAGCCCCTTGCCTTCCTAGGAAGTTGCCATTAATCAGTATTTCTAACTCATTTTCTCTATTCACATGCCGTTCTTCCTTTACAGCTTCAGTGAAGTAGCTGGATCCACACTGGGGAATAACCAAAAAGAACATCTGCAATGATACATATTCTGTACCTGGCTGTGATTCTAAATTCATGTTATTCACCTGCATAATTTCTTTCCAGTTTACACAGTCACCAGGAAGCCAATGTCTTGGCATGACAATACAGACGAGCCAACAGATGGTAAGAAATCTCTGAAAAATCTTTTTCTCAAAATTACCTAAGAAAATTACTAATAAATAAGATTTAATAATTCCAATCAGTCTAAAACATCATGTCTGTGGAAACGCCTCTGTGACCATACAAGAAAATTAAAACTCATTCATGATTTTTGTTAAATGTGAAGCAGGTTTTATTCCACTTTAAGGCCCTTTCCCATTACTTTCCATTATCAGCAAAAGTTTGCATTCATGCAATTGTGCTATTTGCTTTTAGTTAAAAACTATACTACACTATAAAATATATAGAAAATTCTTTATAGTCGTATTATAAAATTTTGCTTGAGAATCTAAACCTCCCCAAAACAACTGGAAACATGATCTACACATACATGTTGCCTGTCACTGCAGATTCTACTTAACCACCACACATAGTAAACTGCTGAAATGACTGTCCAGTCTTGCTTTAGAGCACTGGTAACAAGAACCCTTATAGCAGTTGCTCCCTTATTTCTAACATGCTAATTTTGTCTAAAAACCTTAATGCTCAGGTAAGAATTAACAGGACAGTATCACCAGGCAAATCTTGAAAGTGCATCAGGAAATACTGAAGTAGAAACGTCACCCTGCATTCTCTAACAGTGTAATTCATAGAAGCACAGAGGTTGCTTTTATCCTTGGCTTTCTTGCTATAGCTTGGACAGCATTAAGTTGTCCCATTCTAACACACATCCACAGGTGAGTGATTTTTAAATTTTTAAATACTTTCATTTCTATTTGTGTCTCTTAAACCAACAGACGAGTTCCTGAAACTTTTTCACCGCGCAGCACTGCAGCCAAGACAGAAATATTCAGAGCCGCAAACTGAAAGCCAAGAAATTGGCTGGAACACAACACCTCTGGTGAGTAGGACTCAGGTCTTTGCAGGATTCAGAGGTGTTCAGCCCACCACTGAAAGATACACATGCAAGACAATAATTTGTGACAAACATGGAAAACAGGAATGACCAGGCGTGAGCAGAGCTGTTCATAAACAGTTTTTAAAACTTAGACCTAAGAGGACTCTTCACTCTGGCATAGGCTTGTGAACACAGAAACAGCAGACTCCCCTGAGAAACCTGAATGCAAAATACATACAGTGACAATGGACCCCAAGTACAGTGCCAAATGCCATGTGTGTACTCACTGTTTACTAAAGCCTTCAGCCATGAGAAATGGTGTAGTGAGCAACGTGAAGTGACATATGTAAGTACTGTGAAAAGAAATCTGCTGCTGCACAGTATCTTTCAAACAAAAGTGCAAGCAGATCCATGAAATTAATAATCATCTAAGTATACCCAGGGCAGATACACCAGTGACGATTCATCTGGGGAAGCGTGACTAAATAGGAGGTAAAGAAGTATGATTAACAAGCTGAGACATCAATCATACCTGACAAACAAATAGCTATGATGATGGTTGACTTTATAGATTAGTGTTTTGAGAAAGGCAAGTGAGGATCTGATTAATTTTGGCCTGTTACAAAAAAAACTAAGACAAATAAGAAAATAAGACAGTTTTCCTCAATTTTTCGTATTAAAGATCAAGTAGCTAGTTACTCCTGACAAGGGTAGAGACAGACATGCCAGTTGGGCTTTATGGTGTTAAAATAGTGCTGGTAGGATTAGACTGGCAGGAAAGAGGCAACTAAATGTGCATGAAGGGAAGCAAGTTCAATTCATAGGGTCAAGGCTCATAATGCTGTTTAATTTGTTAATCTTGCCTTTTTCACCAGGTTCTACCATAATGAAGCAGTTCTACCATCACTGTATGGTGGTACCCTGCTCGTTTTCCACTTGGACATTTCTCAGCAGCAAGAACACCATGCATCACTCTTCCCAGGAGGGACTGCTACTACCAATTTTAGCAAAAGCACATGAGTATTTGTCATTTTTCTTTCCCAGATTCCTGTGGACCGTAATGATTGCAGACTCCACTTCCCACGCCGGAAAACCGAGTTCACTACATAAATGGCTGCCCTGGGGCATGGGGAGGAGGAGAGTAAGAACCTTCAGTAGTAGAGGGGGAAAGCCACAAACTCAGATAGACTGTTAATGACATCTAATGTGTTAGGCCTGCTTGTTAACAGGCAAGTCTGGTAGAGTTCTAGTAAGAGACAACAGAAAAGGGAAGAGAGAACCTCAGTCCGTCCAGATTTGCAGCCTGACAACACTGACAGAAATAAACTTATAAGACTGCTGTATTCGTCTCATTGCTGTTTCTAAACCCATCTATATGAATAGTCTAAAAAACCACTCTAACATCTTGACAGGCTTCAGACTTCTTATTTTGACATCAGCAACATGACCCAGAACTCGAGGTCTCCAACCTCACATCAGCAGTAGTGGTGAAAAAAGCTGTCAGAATGAAGGGGACAAAGGGCAGGCTCCAGCTGCCATTCATAAAACAGCTAAACATGAGTTACACATAGTTCTTTGCAAACCATTTAATGCATTCACACACCAAAGGTTTACGCAGAAAACAATCCTTCAACAAAACAGGACGAAGAAATTAGTGATAAGGCACTAGTTTCCACTGACTCTTTTCCATGCCACTTGGAAGCATCCAGCTTGCTCCATGGTTAGCTGCTTGATGCCAGCAGAAGCACATCTCGCAACAGACAGACACACAAGAACCCCAGTGGGAAGCACAGTCCTCTTAGCGCGCTCGGTTCTTCATTTTCTGCCTTGCTCTCTTTCCAGGTCTCTTCTGCAACAAACAGACAGATTGAGATCTTTATTTTCACGTTCTCAATATTTATTCTATTTCTATAGCTTGGGGAGGATACCAAGGAGAGGGTATTTGTCAGTACATCTGGAGAGGGAGGTTTTAGCACACAGGCAGCAAGTGGTATTAACTCCCTTGCTCATTTCCCTGCTGATACCAAACCACTGTTCTCAGCTCTGTCAGCAACCCAGTTATGCTCAGCTCCCAAAGACAGGCATTATCACTTCCCGATGCTGTAGGAACCCATCATGTACTCAGCTCTCCCTCCCAGATTAGGGCTGGCTTCTCAGCCAACCAGGAGTGTTTGCATACAACATTTTACTTACATTGAGGGCTTTCTTCCCTCCTTTTCTTGCTTTTCCTGGGCCTTTGTTGTGAGCCACTTTTGACTGGAAGCTGGATACATCGTTAAAACTTTCCTTTGTGTTCCACTTTGAGCCTTTCTTCTTCCCACCAAAACCAAACTTCTGATTTTTGTATCGTCTTTTGGCATTTGGTCTGAAAAACAACCAAACAGCATCATTGCCCTACATTCCTTTCCTCAGGAAGCTCTCAAGGCACAGGTATGTGCTGATGGACTCCCAACAGCCATCATAAACCTTTTCCCCCATAACAAAGATGCAGAAATTAGCACATTTCAGTCTCTGTGCCATTCTGGCCAGTTTTATTTCTCTCTAGGGACAGAAAGCCACCTTGGACTTATTTTAACAAACACTCATCAGAACAGCTTTCATGCTCCCAAAATTATCCCCCAGAAAGACAGAATCAGACATTCTGTGTTTAAACATCTTTCATTTCCAGCCTCACCCCTTCTTTGTCCGTTGACTTGCACTGCCTTTTTTATTCCCCTGAGACGACGTCTGCTCGTCATCTAGAAAGTCCAGCTTGTCAGACAGCCCTGCAAGAGCAAAGACATCACAGCTCAGAAGAAGCAAATTTTCAGTCTAAGGAAGTAATAGCACCAAGTCACTCTCACTGAAGAACAGCTACCTGGGAGGCTTTTCACTGGCACTGGCACATGGTTCTTTCTGCACAGCAGCCTCCCAAGCTCAAGGCCCAGAACTGCAGATGTAGTGACCACCCATCACGCTGCCTTACATTGCTCAGACTCCACTGCTGCCATCACACATTTGCTCTCTTAGTCAAGTTAACTTTACCTTTCTGGTACTTCTTGACTGCATTCAACATATTTTTTTTCTCCTTCTGTCTCCTCTGCAGAATCTCAGTTTGCACCTATGATTAGAAGCAGAATGTTAGTTTTGTTCCTTGCAGTGTCCCATAATTTTTTTTAAGCTATTCTTTTAAAGGTATCCTATCTTTAGCTCTGTTTTCCTTCAGAGCAGCTAGATAGAAGACTAGACAAATTCTATATATTTTAGCCAGACTCTGGTGGTCTCACTTTCCAAGCTGCTCACTCAGGCTCTAGATTCTTGTCACAGATTGTAGCTCCCTTTTGCAGCTCCTCACCTTCTTGCCGTATTTTCTCATTGCACGGAGCTGTTTTGCTTTCTCAGACCTCTCCATTGCTTCCTGTTTACTCTTAAGCTTCTGTCGAATCTTATTAGGGGATAGAAAAAATGAAATTTATGAGTAACACAAAAGAAAATAAGAGAATTTTATGATTGCTTAACAGTCCTTAAGTCAGTATTTGTGAAATATATATGGGTGTAAAAAATCATCTCTCAATCAGATCATGTTTATAAGGCATAACATCCTTTCAGATCAAGGCTAAAACAGTTATTACAGAAACTCCTGAACTGATCTGTAGCCAAAACCTGGTTGAAAAGACAATACTCAAACAGAGACAAGACAAAGCCTTATAATGGGCTCTAATGGAACAAAGATTATCTTGTCAGTCTACTCGGGTCCATGAAGAAGATTTGATAGTTTCTGTCTTGTCATTACTAAAAGTAAAGCACTGAAGAAGAGTCAATAATCCTGTGCCACAGAAAACATCTTTTCCATTCCCTCCTCGATCACATTTTTATAAGGATGCCACATTACAAAGGATTACAAGGATTTCAACACAGATCTTCTGGATTCAGTCTGTGACTCCACCAGGAGATAGAAACTGCTGTTCAGACAAAGTCAGCAAAAGAAAAGAACAGTAATGTGTAGAATTGACTTAAGCCTTAGCACAAGCCACTTATTACTCTTCATCTTCTCTAGAAAGGTTCTATCAAACACCAAAACAAGTCATACACGAATCTCCAAATTAGACTCCAGCTTATGGTTTTTTAACTTATACAATGTAGCCTTTTTTCCAAATCTAAAACAAAAAACAGAGTTCCCTTTTGAGCAAAGACTACAGTAAAATGCAAGTTCATGAAAGTCTTACTTCCTACACAAATCTGACTTTCTATCCAAAATAGATTCATTCAATAACAGACAGTCTAAAATCACCGAGAACCAGAACAAACTGACTATACACAAAGGGTGATAAATAGGAAAAAAAGGATCGTGTAAAAGACACAGTCAACTGTAAGTCTTATGAAAAAGAGCAAAAACACAGCCAACTTTACAACCACTCACACTGAGAAAAATTCTCCATTTTTAATATTAAACACATTCAGGACAAAGTATAAATAGGGTTTTCTACTTTATGTTCCAACCTCTTACAGGATAAAACCAACACATTACACCAGAAAAGAAGACATTGCACATACCTTCTGCATCTGTTGGTCTGATTTGGCCATCTCTGCAAAGTAATCATCTGGCCTCCTGGTCGGAACCTGGAGCTTCCGCAGCCTAGGGAGGGCTTCCAGGACGGCTGCCTGAGCCTGCCGGTAGCTGGGAGAGAGCACAGCACCAGCTCTGTCACTGCACCAGCTCTGTCTCACTGCATGTCGGGCATCCCACAGCACTGACAGAAACTCTGAGCACACCAGCTAGGAGATACTGGAATCTAACAAGCATTGCTCTAGAGTTGTATCAACATTCTGTGCACATACAGCTACAGAGAGCAGTTTAGGTGCCAGTACAATATTAAGACTTGTATCTTACACATATGCACTTATTGCCAGTTACAGTTTAATATGTTGGAATATAAAAGGCATAGCAAAGCAAAAGAACTTTAAGAACACCAAACCAAACCCACAAAGAAAAATCAGTATCTTGTATTACAGCCTTAGTGCTGCTACCAAGGCACTTTTAAAATATACTTTTCAGCAAAGGATGGAAGTCTGCTGGGAGGAGGGAAATTATTTATTTTCAGTCACAAGGCAAGTTAAATATACTAGCATTAATTTGTACTTATTCTGGAAAACATTCAGAGCCATCAAATCTTAAATAACACGGCCCAAGAGTGCCATTGACAAGCACCCTGCAGCACACTGGTGAAACACAACTACAAGCATGCAACAGCACGCTGAGACCCTACATGAAACCTCTTCTTTGACACTTACAAGCTCATCTCTCTCTGGAAATCATTCTCAGGGTCAACAGCATCTGTGCTGGAAGCGCTCTGGGCGACGGGGTCCACGACGGGGCCCAGAGTCACGTCCAGCCTTTCCACCCACGCGAGCTGCTTCCCGAATTCGGCCAGGCACTGCTTCAGGCCGTCCTGCGAGAGAAGCACAGCTCTGCACGGCCCCGCACGGCTGGCCCGGCTCACACCGCAAACCCCCGCCGCCGTGCAGAGCCCCGCAGCCCTCCCTGCCCCGCAGCCCCGCTCACCGCGTCGTTGCGCCGCTTCGGCCGCTCCTCCAGCACCACGTTGAGCCCCGGCTTCAGCTCCCCCCTCGCGAAGGCCTCCTGGAGCTGTGAGACGGGCACGGTCAGGCCGCGGCTGCCGGGGGAGGCCCCGCCGCCCACCGTGGCCCCGGTCTCACCTCCGAGTCCGAGAGCGAGGAGTCCTCGGAGTCCGACCCGAGGTCCGAGAGGGACCCGCGCCGCGCCATCGCCGCCGCCGCCGCCGCCGCCGCCACCCCTTCCGCCCGCGTGCGCCGCCGCTTCCGGGCGCGGTGGGGCCCGGTCACCAGGGCGACGGGGCAGCGGGGCCATGGCGGCGGCCGTGCTGCCCGTGGCCGTGTTCGGCTGCCGGCCGCGGGTGGCCGGCGGCGTTTGCTTCCTGGAGGAGCAGGTGGTGCTGCACGCGGCCGGGGCGGGCTGCCTGCGGCTGCACCTCGAGCACAAGTGGCACAACTTCATCCCAGGTGGCACCGACCCCCGGCCCCCCCGGCCCCCGGCTCCCCCGGCCCCGCGGCCCGCCCTGACCGCTCTCCTCTCCGCAGGCACCGAGAAGAGCCGGGGCGTGCAGGCGCTGGCCGTCAGCCCCAACCGGCGGTTCCTGGCGGTGTCGGAGGCGGCGGGGGAGCAGCCGGTGCTGGCGGTGTACGAGCTGTCTGCGGAGCGGGCGCGGCGCCGGAGGGCGCTGGCGACCGCCGAGCTGCCGGCGCGGCAGGCCGTGTCCCTCGCCTTCTCCCCCGACGGCCGGTACCTGGCGACCGCCACGGCCATGCCCGAGGGGGTCCTCACCTGCTGGCTCTGGGAGAAGCATCAGCTGGAGGCGGCCGTCCGCCTGCTGGCCCCGGGCAGCGGCCCCTGCCAGGTAACGGCGCCACCTCCGCCCGCTGCCGAAACCCAGCTGTGACAGCCCCTCTGCGGCTCGTTTTTAACACTTCGGTTCGCAGCTGACTGTTTCTTTGGGAGCGCATTGCACTTTTCGGAAAGATGGATAAAAGGATCAAACTTGAGTTCAACAAGTACCGGGGTGCCAGGTAGCACGTATGTTCATCCTTCAGGATATGTGCACAGTACGTTTTCCTGTGGCCACGTGGCTTCTATCCAGGGCAAAAGGAGGAGAGGGCTCCACGTTGTCCACATGGTAGATTTCATACAGTTTCTGTGACCTTTCTTGACATCTACTGTTGGCCTCCCTCAGCAATAAGACACTGGGCTAAATAAAGTCTTACTTTGACCTATAATGGGCATTCTCATGTCTGTATGTGTTCTATCACATGAGATTCTCTTACATCACATCAGGTCTATGTCATGGGGCCAGCACAGCTGGCCAGTGCCAGTAGGATGTGTCCCTTGCCTCCCTGCAGAAACACTTACTAAATATATTGGCTGTGCTCAGTAATTAAAGCTCTTAGCATACTCCTGCACCTTTTCCTTCCTGCAGTCTTCTATGTGCAGATCAGAGGAGAAGAGTGGCTTGGAGCAGGCTGATGGCACTTAAATGAACCCTGCAACCTGCTTTGGGTGCCCTTTTTTTAGAATCTTGTAGGGAGGTAAGATGCTTCCAGTTGGGTGAATTACTGAATTCATGAGCTCAACTCCTAAAGAGGGGAGAGTGACTGTAAAGACTCCCACTGTCTAAAGTCCTATTAAGCTCCATTAAGCTACATCCTGCTCCTTTGTACCACTTATAAAAAATGAGTTCTAACCACCCCTGCTATCCTTCATGTTGGATATTGAGATGGCTATTCCATCATTTTCACAAATAAACATCTAATTATGTGGATTCATATGCATAATGTTTGCCTGAAATACAGAAGTTATTCCTGGCCTTTAAGAACAAATGGTCACACTTTTCAGGAAGCTTGCTACTGGAAAAACTTTCTAATCAGCAATAAAGAGGTATTTTGGCCTTACTTTTGTAATTTAATTTTGAAGGGAAGAGACAACTTGCTTGATACACAGTTTTGAAAGGTGGAAAACTGCAATATGTAGTTATGATGGTTAATTGTTAGTCTCTTCTGTATTCATGTATGTTTCTATGAACTGTCTTCCCTTCTTTGTTTTCCTTTATCTGGTATTGAAAGTCTTCAGAACAGGTATAACATTTGCTTGTTTGTGAACATAGTTGTAAAAAATCCTTTCTCTCTGTTGTTCCATAGGTTAGCTTTAGTCCTCAAGACAGCACCCAGCTTTGTATCACTGGAAATGGCTTTTTTAAACTTTTTAAGTACAGTGAAGGAAATTTGAAGCAGATGAATTTACAAAAGGGAGAGCCAGAAAACTACTTGTGCCATGCCTGGCTGTCCGAGGAGAAAGTTGTATGTGGCACTGACACAGGCAAACTTAGCGTGTTTGAAACTGGAGAGCTGCACTGGGAGACAAATTTAGAGTACAGAAAACCACCCAGGGAACTAGAAGAAGATGCAACAACAAAAGAATATGAGAGGTAAATCTGTTAAATATTATTACTGATAGTTTCATGTTTGTGCATGCAGATTAGTTGCAGGCCATTGACTGACTTCCTTCTTGTCCAGCTAATGATTTTGATTGCTGCCAATTAAAATTTTTTTATTTGTCTTTATTCTTAAGTCTTTATGCATTTCCTGCTTGCAGCTCTCTTGATGTTTCTTGTGGACTGGCCTCTGAAGATATTACACAACATAGTTCTTTGCCTCAAATATCTGCAGTTGCAGCATATTCCAAAGGCTTTGCATGTTCACCTAGCCCAGGAGTTGTTCTTCTGTTTGAGAAGACCAAGGGACAGGAAGCCTACGAGGAGAGTCAAGAAATCTGGGTAACGAGAAAAAAGCTTTTCTAAGCAATTATACAGCAGAGGCCTGTGTAGAGGACTGTGAGTGCTTCTGATTCAGTTATTAATAATAATTTTTAGCACATTCTAAATTGCACTGTAAGCATTAGCTAACTGTGCTGGTGATGTTGAAAGGAAGGGAGTTGCCAAAGGTCACACTGCAAGTCAGTGGCTGATGTTCAGGTAATTCTGCATGTTCCCTTCCCACATGTAAAATGTGCTTTGAGGCTGCTAAATTTCAGGGAGCCTTTAAGAAACTTTTATCTGCGGAGACTTTTGGAGCCAAGAAGCAGTTTACATCAGTTTTGAAGAACTTGGCTTCTTGGTGTTTTCCCAAGGAGAAGCTTTTCTCCCCTCAGATATTTATTAGAGCTGTCATGAGACTTGTGCACTCTTAAATGATCCAGTAAGGTTTCTATTCTAACTGTTCTATAGTGTATGCCTTGACTTTCTGCAGTCTCTGGCTGAGAACACTTAGCTCTAATGACCTGGTCAAGACTTCATACTCTGGTCCTAAAAGGTCAGATTTTTCCTATGCTTGAGACCCTGTAATAAGTGTTATCAACCTGAATGATACACTACGAAGAACTGTTATTCTGAGATCACAATTTTTAGGCAATTTTGATTCTGGCACTTGCTAGGTTTTTTCTTTATGTTTTTCTGCCATCATTTTCAGTCTTGCTAATGCAGTACCTTAGATTACTGCTGAAATGTCTTCTGATACTTTGTTTCAGCTGTAATGCTATAGATACAGTTGTCCTCTTGTCCTCTATTCCCTGCCTTACAGTAGTTACATGCTATTAAATATCCCATTTGTCTTGCTGCTATTGTGTATATCCTTATTAAAGTAGCATTTCAGAAATGTTTGTGTGTGTGTGCATGCCTACTACCAAAACATGGAAACCTGGCATATCCCATAGGATGCATTTTCTGTGCAGCTTCCTCAGGACCAGTTCAGAACTGAGCCAAAAAAGTCAGACAGACAGGACATTACATGTATATGCTTCAGCCCCTCTGAGGAAACAATGGTCATTAGCACAAATAAACATCAGCTATACATGTTTCCTATGGTCTCCACCAAACTTATAAGGGTAAGTGCAATCCTATCACATTCCACAGCCATCATGTCCAGTAAGGGATGTTTGTAATGTCACAGCCTATTGAGTGTTGTTTTCTGTGATGCATTCTCATAAAATCCTTCAAATAGCATCTGAACCCTTGATTTTTTTTTTAAGTATCTACAGGGCCAGGAGGTATTAACTGAATTCTTGCAGAGTTATAACCCACCCCAGAAGGGGAGGGTAACACAGGTTCTTGTTAATAGATCCCTTGGGGCAGATTAGAGTGAAATAAAACTGATGATTGGTGTTTGTAAATATATATATGTAGGGTTTATTTTAAAACAATTTGATTTCAAAGGAATCCAGCTATGTAGCCGTTTTGGTCGTTATCATCTATAGTAATATAGCAATATAAAAGCATAAAAATAACACTTCAGAAAATGTATAAGGAAAAGAAAGAAAGGATAAAAGTTGAAAGATATATGATCACCACACATTGGATCCAGGAATGAAACTGTTATGTTCAGAGCAGTGCAGTTAAAGCATTAAGTGGTTTCCTCATTCTGCTACTGTATGCAAAGACCCACGAGAGATTTCTTGTCTGAGTTACTGCCTGCAATGAAATATTTGTGATTTTTTTAATGTTCTCATTCCTTCTCAGGAGAAGACATCTTATTTTGCATATCTGAATTTCCCATTGCATTCTGATTCGATCACTGGTCTGGACATGTGTATTTGGAAACCCATTCTTGCTACTTGTTCCCTGGATAGATCTGTCCGCATCTGGAATTACAAGACGAAGTAAAGAGTTATTTATCTTTGTTATTACCTCTTGCTTTTTTGTATATTGTGTTTAGCAGGCAATCTCATATGAATGAGTGTTGTTCTGGTAAAATTCTTGTGTGGTGTGGGACATAAATGGTCTTACTGGCATGATTTGTGGAGTGTGAATATGCAGTGCCTTTAAAATCAGTGCCAAAAGAATCCAAAGCCTTTTCTATTAAGCTATTTTTAATGTCAGACTTCTCATATTTTTGGAAAAAAATATCTTCAGGAAAGTTTCATTCAGCTTTATCTTCAGATACTGTTGTCCCATCTGCTGCTTCTTAGCCATAGTTCTCAAGCATAATGACTCCAGCTTTTAAGGTTCTGTGGAGGGAGAGAGAGAAGAAACCAAATCTCAAGAGATGTTTGTGTAGCTTTGCAATCAGCGACTCATTTACCTTCTTCGTTATATTCCAGTATACAAGGATTTGCTCTTGCACCTTCCACACCTAATCTGTGAACCAGAAAGTCAAATTTGCCTTTGTTTCCTGTAACATCTGTGTGACCATTACTTAACTGAATAACAGCACGTTTCCTCAAGGACAAGGCAC